CGTATAAAATCATATCAGATTAATTGCAGTAAATACATGCATACACATAGTTCATCATTAACAGTTTATCATATAATCACATACTATTTCAATCAAACACTATACACACACAACATCATATCATTTCTATAGCATTTATCATACCACTAACTATATTTGTTCATATTTCTGGATTAGCCCATGTATATATGTGAGAACTATCGATATGTGAGTCTATAGAGGTTGTGCACTATGCTGTCACCACAGCTCGTATAAATGCACCGAAGTGCCCCGTAGAATTGCATCGAAGTGCCCGTAGAATTGCACCGTAGTGCCATATAATGATGTCCATAAGGACCACGTAGAATTCCTTAAGAATCATATACATATGCTAGGGATCAAGTATGTGTCTTTCGAGACTTCACACATGTTCCAAAGAATATACATATGTCCTAAAGAACCGAATAGACCCTCGACTCTTGGCATGCCAACTATACCCCTAGCTCTCATGACACATAACATGGGAGTTATCATTTATTTCATTTCAAATATTCACATAAACTTGTAATTCACTTTCACATATCACGTATCACATAGCTTCTTTTCATATGATCACATAGTCCCGTAGTTCACTTGCACGTAGATCATTTCCATATAATTCACATGTCACATATGTCATGTTTTCATATAATTTCTATCATTTCTCACCCAATCACCTTTATTCATATAAACATACTTATCATATCTTGTTCACATAAGATCATATACTTCATATAATATATCGAAACACCTAGAACACTTTCACGTAGCTTATAGTCATAAGTCTTATCTCATAACCTATACTTGTTTTCACATATATATATTTCATAGCATTTCTTATACCATCACATAATTCCTTTAACATACATAACATATCATGTAACATTATAATAGCAATACTTATAAGTCATATTGCTTATATCTTAATCTTATGCCTTCTCTTAAACATATATATATATATATATATATATATATATATATATATATATATTCACATGTTCAGGTAATTCACCATTTCATCACATAATTGTGTATTCATATAACTCATTTCATTTCATTTCATTTCATATCTATCTATATATCTATATCCTCAAGATTATCCTATATAATCATATAGCACTCTTATATTTCGTATTCATCTAGGGCAGACTTATAAACATATCTCACTTCTATTATTTCTATATATATAATCTAATCTGTTACTTAATTCAATTTCATATCACTCTTATAATCTTCTCATATAACTTCACAAATTTCTATCATTCAACCCATGTGTTATAGTTTTATTTAAACCTATGAATCTTTCCCATCTAGCTTATCTTATACGTTCATCTTATCATTTATGTTCAAATCCCCTAGTTAGTGTACTATTTTCACTTCATCCTATAGATCAATATTATCCAGCTTATTTCACTTATCATATAATAATATAATTATATTTTACTATGATCACATAGTTTATATCTCATACTTTGCTTTCTCATGTTCACCTATATCATGTCATATGGCTCATATCTTTCTCATGCAGTCACATAGTTCAGTTTCACATATGTATATATATACATTATATAGCACATACTTCTCATAACATTACATTCAAAAGCATGTCAACACATATATTCATGCATACATACAATTCATGTCATTCATATACGTATAATCATATATTCATGCATTCTAACATAGGAAATAGACTTGTCGCAAGTCTTGTTTCCATTTAGCACCATAAACTAACTAATATGCACTCACCTGGCCTCACTAGCCAAGTCCAATCTCTTATCTTTCCCTTGATCGATCTTACTTGCCAAACGTTCCGGAATTGCTTTATGCGTAGAATCTACATAATTGTACATTTCGAGACCATCATTAGGTACCTACACCTTGTAATTGGATACTAGCAACTTAAACTAACTTATTAAACCCATATTCCCAATTTTCCTTTAGGGGGAATCGGTTCCCCCTATGGGGGTATCGGTTCCCCCATGACATACTGGAAATTCTTGTTCGTTTGAAGGGGTATCGGTTCCCCTTGAATGGGTACCGATTCCCCTTGCCCAGAAATCATATTTTGAGCTCGAAAATCCTTCATTTTCAGCTCAACACATCATACTTCATTCCCTTTAATATTCCTAACTTTCATACACATACTTAAACTCATTTCTACTCCATAATCACTTCTTTATACTCAAAATTCTATCTTCCATATAAGATTCAAAAATCATACCAAATTTTCAATGTGTTCTAATTCCCATTCTATCACTTCATATCTCTTAATTTAATCCTTGACAAGTCAAATTCAACTTCACAATCTATTAACTCCTTCCATATCAAAAATTCACTTAAAAACTCATTTTTCTTAATTTCTCATAACTTGTTAATCTTTGAGGTTTAAGCCACTTAAAGCTTTCCTTAATCTTTCTTAATATCCCAAGAATCAAAACAAGCTTTAAAACGAAAGAATTAACCAACTAAAGACCCACTTACCTTATACCAAGCTTCCCGGTTGAGAGGAGGAAGAAGACTGAAGAATGCTCTGGACTCTTCTTCCTCCGTGCTTATTACCCTTTAAAAAAATTATAAAAAAAATCTTTCTGGTCAAATGACCATAATACCCTTAATTTCCTTTAATAAATACCAAATAACCTTCAATATATATATATTCAATCATTGAATTCTTTCATTCTTCTACTTTAGTCACCAAATTCTGAAACTTTACAATTTAGTCACTAACCCGGTATTGCGGATGTTACACTTAGGTTACGAACTCTTACCTCAAAGGTTTGAGTCGATGCTACAAGAGCTGTTTGGTAAAAATAAGAAGGGGTGCGAGTACATTATGGACATCAGCAAAGAAATGTGGACAAATGTATATGACGGGGGGTATCGCTATGGTCATATGACAACAAACTTGGCTGAAGCAATAAATTCAACCTTAAAGGGGGCGCGTCATTTATCAATCACGGCGTTGGTTAAAACGACTTATTTTCGTTTGGGTCAACTCTTTGCAAAGCTCGGTGGACAAGCTCTTACTTGGATGCAAAACGGACATATTTACAACCCAAGACTAGTAGTTGATTTACAGAAAAAAGTGGCTGCATCAAATGGGATGTTAGTTACAAATTTTTCTCGCACCCGTGAATTGTTTCGTGTAACCGAAATGCCACGTCCGCTGCAAGGGATTGAAGCTAACTCTTTCAGAGTTAATCTGCAAGAGAGGTGGTGCGATTGTGGTTTCTTTCAAGCACTCAAATATCCATGCTCTCATGTCATTGCTGCTTGCTCACATTCGCATTTGGACTACAAAAATTATGTTGATCCCGTATACCAACTTTCACAAGTATTCAAGGTATATGAATTTGAGTTTCCACCCATAGGAAACGAAAGAGACCCAAATGAGATTCAAGCTTGGCTTACAATTGTACCAGATCCATTGCTATTGAGGGACTCAGGTCGTCCAAAATATACTAGAATACATTGTGATATGGATACTCGGGAGAAGTCAACAGAACAAAAACGATGTGGGCATTGTAGAAACATCGGGCACAATAGAAAAAAATGTCCAGCTCTGTTATCATCATATAACCGTTAACTCTTATGTAATTAATATTGTATTTAAATGAATGTTTTTGTTTCTAATAATTTAATGTTATTGCATTTATATAATTTGTCAATGTATGTACACCTAAATAATTTTTTTTAACTTTTAAATACATAAATATATTTAATATATTTATTTAATATAATAATTAATATTATTAGTTATAATTTTTTAAAATATAATAATTCCACCTTCTAAGTAGAGAAAAATATTAAATTAAACAAATTAAAAGTTATTAAAAAATTTATGTATACGATGACACATTTCATGTTCTGATTGGAGGATTAAATTTATTAAATTAAATTTTCAATAAGACTAATTTTATAAAATATGTAAGTCTTGAAGATTAAATATGTAATTATACTAATTTATTAACTTATGCATCAATATTTTTGTTAAATATTGATATGAGATGACTAGATTGATAACATTTAAATAATTAACTGATAAAATTAATAGATCGATAATCAAAATCAAAAATAATCGAAACTTGATAATTCTTACATTATAATCGAAACATTTTACATAATATATTATTAATTTATAATAATAATAAAAATAAACTATTTATTATAAAACAAAATACATGTCTGCTGAGTTGGCAAAGGCGCGTGACATCCAACTCAGCGAAAAACACGGGTAAAGCGCGTCCCCGGGGACGCGCCTTTGCCAACTCAGCAGAAAGGGTGATACTTCTGGAAATATTGATCAAACGATGTCAGAAAGGTAAAATTAAAAACAAACGGTGTCAGTTATGTAATTTAGCCCTGATTAAGCCGCCTGGTTTCAAACTTTCAAATGTCAAAACCCTTTTCTCGGTTTCAGCTTCGAAAGGCTGAAAAACATTTGGAACATTAGCACTTGTCATCAATGGCATGCAGTAATAATAATGGAAAATTCATCTGACTCCTAACTGGGGAAAAGAAAGAATCCCAAGGCCAGACATTAAAGCATGTTTTCTAAAAGATAAAGTTCAGCAGTAATCAATGCTCATTAAATGTTGTTAGGGAGGGAGACTTATGCTCATGAGTTTGATTATATTTAAGCACTAATTCTGTCTCGTTAATTCTGAGGGGACAACAACATTTACTATGCTCACTGCAATGAGCTTTAGATCTAAAATCAAGTCAACTTCCATTTTCATGGTCCACAACAACCGGCTGGGAGAGTAACTGTTTTTCTTTCTATCCCTTGGGTGAATTTTCAGGGACCTTGGGTGAATTTTTGCAAAAAAAAAAAAAAAGCTCTGGAGTATAAGATACAGATACCCTCCGTAATCAAAGCAATATAGCCATTCCCTCCCATTTTCCTTACATTCTCCCTCTCTATCTTTTCCCCCTTTTTTTGGTGTTGAACCAAGCAAAGCATTAATCGAACTCTGAGTATGGCTAGGAATCCAAAACGCAGTGCGTCTTTCTTCAAGGTTGTCATAGGAGATTTCGTTAACAAATTGGTAAGTTCAAATTCTTCCTCAGGCATTTATGTTGTTTGAGAGCTCCACGTATGTATGTGGCTAATAAATGCCGTATTTTATTTCTTTCTTCTTCCAGGGAATTCCGCCAACCTTTGTCAAGTATATTCTCAAAGGAAAAGTTCCCTCCATGTTCAACTTGCATTCCGACTCGGGAAGCTTATGGCGGGTTAGAGTCCAAGTAGAGCAAGGAAAATACTTCTTCACCGGTGGTTGGTCAAAATTTGCCAAACATCACCGCCTGGAAATATGGGATTTTCTAGTTTTCAATTTGGTCGATAGTTCAACGTTCGACGTGATCATTTACGACCGAACCGCGTGCGAAAAGAACATCGCTCTTGCTGCTAAGCGAGGGAGGGGTCGACCACCAGCTGTAAACACAGTAAATGAAGAAAAACCGAGCAAGAAATCTTCTTCAGTCTCAAAGAACAGACGACCGGTTTCTCGTGAGCCAACCTTTTTTCATTTTTAGTATACCTCTTAAGTCTTAATATTCATTTTCGTTTTAATTTTACTAATCGTTTCAATGTTTATTCATCAAACGTGTTTAGGTGAGAGAAATGTCAGGCAGGAGGTTGAGTTTGTATCAGAAGTAGCCCTGAAGCATGTTTCTTTCACAACGGTTGTGAAAGAATACCAGAAATACTATGTCGTAAGACAACTATACTTATCCAAATGTTGTTAATTGCTTTATACTTCGTCCATCTATCTATCTATCTATTCAATTTTCAGTTTATTCCGAGACGTTTCGCCCGACAAGCAGGCTTGGGAAAGCAAAAAACAACGATTATTAAGGGCCCAAGAGGTGACATGTGGCCGATGAACACTACGGGTGGGATCCAGTGTCGCTTCGGCGGTGGATGGTCTCACTTTGTTCATGAACATGGCATAGTAGTTGGAGATACGCTTCAGTTTCAGCACTTCCCAAACACAGGCAATGTAGTTCACGTCCAGATCGTTAACAAAACTGATACCTCTGGAAAGAGCACCGGGCCTGCTGCTAAGCGAGGAAGAGGTCGACCTCGTAGGCAACCGCCAAGCGAACAATGTGCTCCAAGTTCGGATGATGAGATAATCTCGGAGCAAGCTTCATTTTCTATGGTTTTGAAGAAGTACCAGGAGTACAATGTTGTAAGAACCACCCCCTGATTTTTATTAGTCAATTAAAATTTGTTGTTAATTTGTTTCAAGTTTCAATCTCATTATATGTATTTTCTTAAATCTCAGGCTGTTCCAAAAGGTTTCGTTGAAGAAACGGGCTTGGCAGAGAAGACGAGCATGGTGTTCAAGGACTGGGAAGGGAGGACGTGGCCAATAAACGTGCTGGTGGATTCGAAATCACATGTTCGTCTAGGTTCCGGATGGTCCACGTTTGTGAAAGAAAACGAACTAGAAGCCGGAGATACCCTTTTGTTTCAGCACATTCCCAACACCGGTAATGTTATTAACTTGAAGCTTATTAGCAAGGCCGGAGATGGGACTAGCAGGAAAAGAAGCAAGCGGGGAAATGTCTTTTAAAATGTGGTACGGACCTTTTATTGGGAAACAACTCTTTGAAACTGGTAAGCAAAGGCCTGTCAAAAAACTGTGTATTTGGCTTTTGTTTTTGTCAGGCACAGATTCAATCGAAAGCAACTTTTGTTTTTGTTTAAGTTCCGTGTGATCAACTCTGTCATTGTGTTTCTATTTATAGCTTTCTTGTTGCTTTAGACTTAAGATTTGATTGGAGAACTAGTTGCACGTCACATTTACCATGATTAAGATTCGATGGAGCTGTACCAATGCATCAGATGAAGATATGGTTTGATATATCCTTTCGACAATTCATATATATATCAGGTTTCAGAATTCAGCAATCACTTTTTAAGGATTTTCTTTATTTATATGAGTGTCTAGAGATAGAGAGAAATTCAAGAGTTTTCAGCTAAGTGCTAATGAATCTTTGACGTGCCAACAGGCAACAATCTCCGGAAACTCCAGCAACCTATATTTCCAGTTATTACTTCTTGATTTGTGTTATGTTCACAAATATTCCAGACCTGTTCAAGCATGGCCAAGGCGGAGTCAAAAATTTAAAAAATTAAATAAGTATATAAATTAATATATAGCATTAATATTCGGTAAATTAATGTATAATATGGCTAAAATACTGGTATAAACGAACAGAGCATTCAATGAATTGTTCACATAACATTCGTTTATTAACCTAAATAAATGAGTATGAATACAATTTTACTTTTTTTTTCAAAATGAATTAACACGAATAAATGTGAGTTTGGTTCGTTTATAAACAAATTAATTTATTAGTTCTTTTATAAGATCTTTTATTGATTAATGATATTTTATTATAAAAATATTAAAATAATATATTCCTTGATTTTTATTTGAATTTCAACTCATTAATTTAGATATGTATTTATTTCTAGGCGTAGTGAAAGATATATTTGCATCTCCCCTCTCCCTTTTTGAACTTATTTTAATCATCTATCTATTTTATTTTCAAATTATATTTTTACTAAAAGAAATTATGATATAATTATCTTCATGAGGTGACTTTATATTTTAACTAGGAGTATTTTTTATAATTTTATTTTTTAATAATTATTTTTATGTTTTCTGGTGAATATAATAATAATAATAATAATAATAATAATAATAATAGATATCGGGGTGGTGGATGTAGGTGAAATTAAAATAAAATTTTTATTTTTATTACTATTTTTTTAAAATAAGATCAATATCCTTTTAAAAGTGTCAAACTTTTTACTGGTGCTTTCATTTTCAACTTATATATATATCTTAGGTTTTGAGTTCGAGAATTAGAAATATTATGAGTCAATTGAATTATATATTATATATAATTCAGTATCAAATGATTGAGAGTTATTTTTGAATAAATATTATTTTGTACTTACTCCATGTTAATATAAAAGTAAACTTTTTAAAAGTTTTAAAGAGTCAATTGACACCCTCGTTATATACCAGTTCTAGGGACGGACACATAAATTTAATTCAATGGTGCGAAGTTATATTAAAATTTTTAGAGATGCGAAGTTATAAAGTTTTAAGGATGTAAAATTAGATAATCAATAAAATATATAAAAACCCCTAAAATATAAGATAATTTAAAATTTCTAGGGTGCACCAGCATCTAGCACCTCTCGATCCATCCTGACAAGCTCGCCCATGAGCATGGCTTCTTCTTCTCACCCGCAAGGCAATGGCCATATGGAGAGTATAAGCAACTGGCTTTATTTGTTCAAGATGATTCTCCAGAATGGAAAACTTGCAAGCATTCTCCTAACAACTCTCTTCTCTTATATGATATTTTGTTAAAGAGTAATACAAGAGCTGTGGAAAAATTAATCTTCATTTCTTGACTTACCAATTACAATCTGTTTACATATATATATATATGAACCTTTTTAATCTAACTGCCTAACTAACTTAAAACTACTTGTAACAAACTATTAACAGGAAAACTGATTACAAACTCAACACTCCCCCCTCAAGTTGGATGTTGAAAAACATTTTCAACTCCTAACTTGGATAGTAGATAACCATGTTGCTGACTTCCCAAGGCCTTGGTCATGATGTCTGCAAGCTATTCATGTGTTGAAATATTTTCCGTTTGAATCATTCCTTCTTGTATCTTTTCTCTCACAAAATGACAATCAATTTCAATGTGCTTTGTCCTTTCATGATACACTGGATTAGCTGTTATTTGAAGTGCAGCTCTATTGTCACAGTAAAGTTTTGCAGGCTTCAAACCCTTTATGCTAAGCTCTGTAAGCAAACCTTGCAGCCAAACCAACTCAGAAGTGACCACTGCCATAGCTCTATATTCTGCTTCTGCCGAAGACCTTGCTACAACATTTTGTTTCTTTGATTTCCACGAAACCAATGAATCACCAATCTTAATGCAAAAACCTGTTACAGATTTTCTTGTCATCGGACATGATCCCCAATCTGAATCACAATAGGCTGAAAGTTGGCAAATCGAAGAGGATTTTAACAAGATTCCTTGTCCTGGTTCATTCTTGACATATTTAACTATTCTTAAAGCTGCCTCCATATGAGACCTCTTAGGTTGCTGCATAAATTGACTAAGAAGATTCACTGCATATGTAATATCAGGTCTTGTATATGTCAAGTAAATCAACCTCCCAATAAGTCTTTGATAAACTGACTTTTCAACAAGATTATGTTCATCTTCATTATCCTGCTGCACAATCTTATCATAGTCCAAAGTAGTCAACTTCAAATTCTGCTCCAGAGGAGTAATAGCAGGCTTTGCTTCCTCCAAACCAGTATCTTTGATTAACTGTAGTGCATACTTTCTTTGATTCAAAAGTATGCCTTCTTTTGACCTCAATACCTCTATTCCTAAGAAATATTTTAACTCCCCCAAATCCTTCATCTTAAAACGACTATTCAACATTTGCTTCAATTCATCAATCAATTCACTACTATCACCTGTGATTACCAAATCATCAACATAGACTAATAACAAGGCCATTTTACCTTGTTGTCTCTTGATGAACAATGAGTAGTCATACTTGCTTTGAACATAACCAGTCGAGACCAATGCCTCTGTTAATTTCAGATTCCACTGCCTGGAAGCTTGCTTGAGACCATACAATGATTTTTGCAGTCTACACACAATCCTTTCCCCCTGACTGTAAAAACCCTCAGGTAGTTGCATATAAATTTCCTCATAAAGATCTCCTTGCAGAAAAGCATTGAATACATCCATTTGCAATAATGGCCAATGAAGAATATAAGCAAGTGCTAAAATGGTTCGAATAGTTACCATCTTAACCACAGGAGAAAATGTGTCAACAAAATCAATTCCCTCATGTTGATTATAGCCTTTAGCAACCAATCGAGCTTTATATCTCTCAACCTCACCTGATGCTTTGTACTTAACTCTATAAACCCACTTACATCCAATAGGAATTTTTCCTGGTGGTAATGGAACAATGGACCAAGTTCTATTAGACTCAAATGCATGTATTTCTTCTTTCATAGCTTGAATCCAAAGTGGATCTTGAACAGCCTCAGAATAAGATTGAGGCTCAGAAATTTGAGATATGGAAGACAAGCATATTTGAGTGTGAATTGGTAAGTGAGAATAAGAAAGAGAACTGAAATTTGAAGAAGAGGATTGACAAGAGCAAACAAAGTTATTTAACCAAGTAAGAGGCTTAGATACTCTAGAGGATTTCCTAGAGGGAATAGGTGCACTTATTGAAGCAGAAGACTGAACTGAAGTCTGAGAGGTGTGTTCATCATTATCGGTACTCAATGCAGTAGGAGTAGTATGAAGAGAGCTAGAATGTTGAGGACTTGGAGTATTTAAAACTAGGAAATCATCATCATGAACAAGGGTAGAAGATGGGAAAAAGGTTGGATCAGAAATATAAAAGGAAGAAGATGGATGAAATGGAAACTGATTTTCATGGAACTTTACATCTTTACTAATGAATAGTTTTTTAGAGTCAAGATTAAACAGCAAATAACCTTTTTGGGTTGGAGAGTATCCCAAAAAGACAGAGGCAAAGGCTCGAACATCAAACTTATCATGAGGAGCAAGATTTGTTGTAAAACAGAGACACCCAAAAACTCTAAAGTGTTCATAAGAAGGAGGTTTATGATACAGTAATTCAAAAGGAGTTTTCCAACATAAGACTGAAGAAGGCAACCTATTGATAATATAGCAAGCAGCTAACACACATTCTCCCCAGAATTTAAAAGGGACCCGAGATTGAAAACGAAGAGCCCGAGCAACTTCTAAAAGATGCCTATGTTTACGTTCTGCAACCCCATTCTGTTGAGAAGTACGCACACAAGTACTTTGATGGATAATTCCCAAAGATACAAACAAGGGAGAACACTCAGAATTGAAAAATTCACGACCATTATCACTACGAACAATTTTAACTGAGAGAGAAAACTGATTCTTAACCATTAGGATAAAGGTTCGAAGACAGGAAACAACATCATTCTTAAGCTTCAATAAGTACACCCAAGACATCCTAGTATAGTCATCTACAATAGTTAAGAAAAACCGTTGACCAGCATGAGTAGAGATTCGATAAGGCCCCCACAAATCAATATGAATCAATGTAAATGGAGTGGTGGTCCTGGAATTGCTAACTGGAAATGGAAGTCTAGATTGTCTAGCTAAAGGACAGATAGAACAATATTGAACCGATTCATGATGCAAATTCTCATTATGAAACATAGGCAATTTTCTTAATTGAGAAACTGGAACATGTCCTAAACGAGCATGCCAAAGACTTGTTTTATTTGCATCAACAGATTTACAAGTATTGAGAAAAGTTTCAGAAGATGTACATGCATCAACAGAATGTTCTAAGGCAGAAATAGAAAAAACAGAATTTGATGGAAACCTGAGCATGTATAGACCTCTATATTCTTTACCAATCACCGTCATCATGCCATTGCAAAGATCCTGCAATATGCAAAGGTCAGGATAGAATAAAACAACACAGTTTAACTCATGAGCCAGTCTTGAAACAGAAATGAGATTATGAGTAAAGTGAGGCATATGAAGAACATTAGATAATTGAAGACCATTTGGGAGCCTAACAGAACCTATATGTGTGACAACAAAGGATTTGCCAGTAGGCAGCTGAACAAATTTAGGCATGGATGTACAGGGAACAGGATTGAGCATGCATTTTAAGTCTGACAAAATATGGTCAGTTGCTCCAGAATCCAGAATCCACTCAATTGGATTATAAGTAAGAGAACAGAATGTACCTGTCAGATTCACAAAGGAATCTGGACTGGAACTTTGAGCTGAAGATCGATTTAGAAGCCCCAGAAGCTGCTGATACTGTGCAGTTGTAAAAACTGGTGGAGCTGGAGTAGACACCTCACGATCAGAAGGAGTCACCATAGCAGCTTGGGAACCCTTCTTCTTGTTGAATTTAAAATCAGGAGGAAAGCCAATAAGGCGATAGCAATTCTTTTTTTTATGGCCCTTCACCTTACAATGATCACAGATGCCAGTAAAACGTCGACGGTTGCCAGAAGCATTGGAATACAGTGCTGTAGAGTCCAAGTGGGGGACAACGCCAGATAACTGAAGGCGATGAGATTCCTCCTGACTAATCATGGAATAGGCGCTATTGACCGAAGGTAAGGGCTGCATCAACAGGACTTGACTTCGAATGGCAGTGTACGAGTCATTCAGCCCCATGAGAAACTGGAACAATCTCTGTTGAGAAACATGGCGTGAACTGGATTGAGCATTTTCACATGTACAGCTCGAGTAAGGTACCAGTGTATCATACTCGTCCCACAGAAGTTTCAACCGTGAGAAATACGCAGAAATAGAAAGCTCGCCTTGGACCATCGTGGTAATCTCACGATGAAGAAAAAATATGCGGGAACCGTCGACCTTGTCAAAGCGCTCCATGAGATCAACCCAAACGAACTCTGCACTGGAGTCAAAAACAATTCCAGCAGATAAATCCTTGCTCACCGAATTGATGAGCCATGACAGCACAAGGGCGTTGCATCTGTCCCACTGTGCTTGAAGAGAGGGCTGAAAATCATTGCGACAGTAACCTTCATCGATGAACCCTAATTTGTTCTTGGCGAGAAGTGCAATTCGCATTGAGCGACTCCAGACGGTGTAGTTATCTGGTCCAGACAACTGATGCGAGATCAAGATCGTACCCGGAGTGTCCGAGGGATGGAGATATAGCGGGTGATTAAAGTCAAGAAGCGTTGATTCGTTCATCGGGGCTGTGGTGTGTGGCATCATGACAGATGCGATGATGAAGAAAGAGCAGAAAGGTAACCTACTTCAGGAATGAGGAAAAAGAAATGAAGCAATAGCAGACCCGAGAAGGAGAAAAGGCCCAGTGAAATTGGGCTAGCCTGATACCATGTTAAAGAGTAATACAAGAGCTGTGGAAAAATTAATCTTCATTTCTTGACTTACCAATTACAATCTGTTTACATATATATATATGAACCTTTTTAATCTAACTGCCTAACTAACTTAAAACTACTTGTAACAAACTATTAACAGGAAAACTGATTACAAACTCAACATATTTTGATTAAGTAAATTAGTTCACAGCAGGAAAACAAGAGTTGTAGGAAAATGTATTTTACTATCTTATTTCCCCATTTTTACAGGGAATTCCCAGAAAATCATTGAACTGACCAAATGTGATTGCAAAATATGAAATTTCCATGTAGTCATCTTTGATATATAGGAGTGCTTCAGAGATACAATAACCATTCAGCAGCAATGATCATCGTCAAATCTGAATATGAACTCTCTAGAGATCCTATAGGACATCTCTCGAAGCAGAAAAGTGGGAGAGAAATCGCAATCGCCATGTTCAAGGCCTAATAAGACGATGAGTAGTAGTAATCAGCTTATCGAAACCAAAACCAAGTTCAGTGAGAAGTTTGGATTAGCTCGACAACGTTGGCATAATGCTCGAAAAGGTGATAAAAGAACAAGATCATCGATTGAAGGCTTTTGAGAGAGCTAGCATTACATTTAAATCTGAGAACCCAATTTTCCTGCTTGTCATGCAACCATCAATTGAATTTCCACTCAATCCATTATGTCATATTAACATATTCGAAGATGGCAAAAAAACAATCCAATTCTATTGCTTGCGAAGCAGAAGTTTGATTTTAAAATTTTCATTTGTGCAGATCATAACAGCCAACTTTTAATATGTATGTATGTATGTATGCTGTTCAATCCAGTACAGCACACGAAGCTGTTAGAAATAAGCAAAATTTATGATTATTTTCATTTATATTGCTTACAAAATTGAAGGTTTTTTTTCCTTTTTTCAAACTTCTTTCGTGCAATGTGTACCATGCAACTTCGTTGAGAAACATTTGATGAGAGAGCACTGCTCCCTTGCAGCTAAAGTGGGAAAAGTTGGAAAGGCTATATTCATATCTAGAAAGTGGATGGGGTACTTTTGTAAGGGGTAACAATCTCCAAGTCGGTCGGCAATGTTTGTTCCTTTGAGCTAATAATTAGTATCGAAATTAAAACGTAGGTTAACGGTTGAGGGATCGATTTGTTATAAATCAATAACGTTAAGGATTAAATTGTTACTTTTAAGACATCAGTGGAAAAAAAGAAACTTACTCAAACTTAAGTGACCATTATGTAGTTTACCCTTGAATTTATCATTGCTTCTCGTTGAAACATAATGGAAAACGTTGGTTTTGTTCCAAACCAAAGCCTGTGGTTAATACAGTATCTTGGTCTATCCTCTATCTGTCCCGTTACTCTTTTTTCCTTAAACCCTAAACCCCCTCTCCTTATTAGCTACCAACGTCAAGATTTGGTGGGAAAATCGATAAAAAAAAACCCTACATTCCATCGTCCCCAATTTCTCATGCAATCCACTATTTACTGCAAACCTTCAACTGCTCATAATTTCCGATTCCCATGGAAATCCTCAAAAAACCCTGCTTGCCAAACCTGCAAAGTATCCTCAAAATCCCCGAGTTTGGCCAGTTCACTCAGATCCAAAATTACCTACGAGCTTGAAGGAGGTCTAAACAACGATGGGATTGAGTCATCAAATCCGACTAAGCTTCCGGTGGTGATACGGAGGTACGGAAAAGTTTCAAGGTACTTTTGGGATGGGAATCGTGTTTTGTTGCTTAGTGTTGACGGTGGCGGCAGCTCTGGGGGTTCATTTTGTTTCAATTTGGATAAGTTGGTCGAAGCTTCCAGCTTGGCTGTTAGGAACTTTTTTATTCCTAAGCAAGTTAGTGAAAATTATATCGGCTACGTAAAGTGGAAGTTTTTTCACAGGGTTTTTAGCTCTGCTCTTCAAGTTCTTGCTACTCAGGTAAATGTATTTTTTTTGTTTAAATTTTGAAGTTAATGTTTTGAGATCAATGGGCGAATGGGTTATAAATGTCTGGTGACTCATTTTAAATAGGAAAGAGTATCTTGGAAGGTACTAGGGGAAGAGCTGATGAATGGTTTATGCCATATTATATACATCGGGGTTTGACAGTTTGAAGGGAAAAAAAGTAATTATATTTTCCAGGAATTAGATATTGATTGCCATTTTCCATTGTTTAACTTATTTTTGGACAGAATGTGGTGAAAACAGGCAATGTTTCGGGCTATAGGAATTGGGTATTCTCGCTCACTTACATCAGCTGCTGCACTTAACTGGGTATTGAAGGATGGACTTGGACGACTAAGCAGGTGTATTTATACCGCTAGTTTGGCATCTGCTTTCGATACCAATTTGAAGGTAATAATTCCAGATATTGGGTTGCATTTTACATCTTATTCAGCTCGTACCTTTGTTATTATGATTCTTTGTTTCATTGATCACAGTTGTGCAGTTACTGCACTCTATTTTTCATATAATAATGGTGATGATTGTTCTGGTGACTGTAGAACTGTAAAATAAGAAATTTATTTTCTTATTTGTTGTCTTATCTCCTTTGAAGAGAGTTAGGTTTTCAACCTCCCTGCTTTTCACTTTGAGCATTGGAGTTGAACTGCTCACTCCTATATTTCCTCAGTACTTCTTGCTTCTTGCATCGTTGGCCAACATTGCAAAACAAATGAGTTTGGCGTGCTATATGGCAACCAGTGTAAGGATTCAGTTTTTATTTAGTGTATCATCTTTCTAACTTCATTTTTTAATCTTTGGAAGATTTTATCAGTCTTTTTAACTCCAATGCTCAGATGTCTTAATGTTTTCCACCCTATTCAAGCAGCCTCCCATTCATCGAAGCTTTGCAATAGCTGATAACCTTGCTGAAGTTTCTGCGAAGTCACAGGTTACAGTTATTCCTTCAAAATCATGGCATTATTGATACTTTTTGTTTGGGAAGTGCTCTGATCTTGGAATTGGTTTCAGATTCAATCAGTATGCTTTGATAACTTTGGTCTCATGCTTGCTGCTGTTCTGAATTTGTCTCTCAAGAACAATCAAAGGTTTATACTCTTTAGTATCGCTGCTGTTTTTTATCATGTTGCTCAAGAAAATGAAAGGTTTATACCTGTTTTGCAGTTTGCTATTTCTGGCATACTCATTTTGTAATGGCAATTTGATGCCATTGATTAGGCTGATGCTTGTCTAAAGGCTTATTTAATATGAACTGAGTTCCTACTACTGCAGAATATTTCAGTTAGCTATAGAAGTTAAGTTGGAGTCGGAATTTAGCTATCCTGTTTTTTTTTCTTTCCCTTTTTGGAAAAGCTTGAAATTTTCTTGATCTGTCAACTTAGTTTGTTGTCTAACTAAATGCTATACTGCTTTCTTGGTTCTGCTTATTTCGCTAGGCTACAAGCTGGACTACCTTTCATTATATACCCTATTTTCTCGGCAGTTGACCTCTTCGGAATATATCAGGGGCTCAAGTATGTCCATCTGCAAACCTTAACTAAGGTGGAGTATTTATTTCCAGTGCATTTTTCAGCTATCTCATGTTTTAGTTGTTACTCTGAAGAAACAAAAAAATTTGGCATGTCTTTGCTCATGATTTGGTATACGCCAACCCTATACAATATCCATTCCCTATAGCATGCAGATAGTTGAAATATGAGACAAGTTCTTTTGATTCTGGAAGTTGTCAATCTAAATTTCCATCTCAATTGTTCAGTTTCTTAATTGCTTCTCTTTTTCTTTTCCAACATTCAGGATAGAATAGAAATTATAATTGATACATGGATTTCATTTGGATATGTACCTTCACCTGAAGAAGTGAGTAAAGATGAAGAAATCAATTTTATGTGGACCAAAGGTAAAGTTTTTCATGGTTGTGCTTTGACTTTTAGTTTACCATTTACCTGAGCTGTTGTAGAACTAACCGTTAATTTATGGATGAAACATTTGGATTAGGCAAGGAGCCATGGCGCATCAGAATAGGGTGTTTGAATCCCAAGGGTCAATTACCCAAATTATCGGTGATGGCAATGCAGTCTGTAGGTAAAGAGGATTATTATTTCATATGCACGGAAATTTTCGACCAAGGATTAACAAGAGTTAGAGAGGTGCGTATAAAATGCAATCTTTACTAGCTTTCTCACTAAACTATGGTGCTTACATAAAATTATCATCTCTCTTATACCTTCTGTTTTTATGTTCATTTCTTCGTGAAACTCTAGCAAGGTATCCTTCTTTGTGTACGTGAAGGGGCTCGCACAGTTGATTTTATAATGGGATTGTTGCAGGTGAAACACTAAACCCTAATAACTATGCAAATATGAATTAGATTTCACACGTGTACACAAGCTTATGTTTATAGTTGCCAAGGTTAAGTTTGAGTCTAAATGTTTGTGGTGTTCCAGGCCTGCTATGTTCGGAAGGCCCTCCGTTCAAGTACGTGCAAAAGCATGATGAAGGCTAACGATCCCTCAGACTTGGTTATCAAAGAGTGGTTTAAACTGATCGACCATAGCAGGCAATATGTACAGCAAGATTTTGGTCCGATGAATGAACAAATGGTGGCTCAAGGTTGGGTAATAAAAAACATTTTATTGAACACAGAGGAGCAGACTCGATATAGTTACATGGATGACTGAAAATACATATTCTCCTCAGGTTGCTCTTCTCTAACCATTGAAGAGTTTTGGGGTTTGATTAGTTAGATTCTTTTTTCATTTAAGAAAAGCGAACGGCACAACCATTTTACATAATCCCATGTTTTGTTGTAATATTGAACAATTATCCTACTTTAATGTAAATGTAAATAGAAAGATGGACATTGTTGGCTATTGCTTTTGTTATCACTGTCGGTGATATATACAGTTCTATCAATTGAGATCTGTCTTTCATCAAAGAAATTTTCCTGGAATCTTGATGAGTAATGGAAAACACATTTTTTTATTAGTCTATATTCAGAATTTTTTAGTCAATTAACAATATACATGAACTCCGCTCTTATAGGGAGAACAATATTTCTTCTTATTATTAAGACTACTCAAATGAGTTTGCATAACATTAAACCAATTATCGGTGGTCTTTTAAGTTGTAGAACGTACAAGAAATTTTCTACACAGCTTTAATATACTTGAGGAGCCAAGTTTGGGTGATATAGACCCTACCAATCGTTGAATCGTGCATTTCCATCATATATTACAAATGAATGTAATGAAATGTGTACGTGGAAGAAGCTACACAAAGCAGTGTACAAGAATACACCTGGACTTGCTGTATAAGATATGGAGATTTACTATATATTCCATTACAACTTGTATGCTCGTACCTAATAAAGCACCATAGCATGACACCCAATGCAATGCTGAAAATGGCCTTGATGCATAATCTTACAGCTGCAAGGTAAGTAAGCGCAAATGTCCTCTCTTGTGCATTTACACGGCATAGTATGTACACTGACCTTTTGACCTGGAAATTAGACATCAATGAGAGAGAGAACTTGCTTCTGTGCTATAAAACGAGTGCTCGCTGAAGCTGAAGCTGAAGTTGGCTCTCTCTTCATTCCATTTTAGAATCTCCCTTGCATATTTAAGAGCAGAATCAACGCTGTTGGGTTCCAGTCCTTTCAAATGAGAAACATACAACTTCCGTCCGGTGAGTGAAGAATAAAGCCTCTTGAACTTGACAGCGATATAATGGAATGCTAGCTGTCCCGGGGTAGGATTATTGTTAATGCTGTTGCTATTTGTATTCGTACGATAACGACTGATCAGGGGGTGAAAATCATCAAACCACTCACACCGAGTCAATGGAACCCTTTCTATCTTTTCCTCAAACACATCGAGCTTGTTCAATATTAGAAGGAAGTCCATCTGATCAAATGTTGGATGAGTAACGATGGTTTCAAAGAATTTCCTGCTCAGCAGCATCTTATTAGTCCCATCTGCAGAGAACTGGTCATAGTCACTCAAGGCAACACAAAAGATGACCATTCCAACATCTTCAAACATCTCTAGCCACTTGCAATTTTCTCCAAAGCCTCTTGCTAGCACTCTGATTAATTGGTACCTGGGAAGCAGTTTGAAACTTTAAGGATAAAATACATTCGACTATAACCTAATGTGTTTTGAAATGAGCAACACAGATCACCATAGAGTACGCTGTTTTAACAAGTAATTTAAGTACCAATAGGCTGATCACAAACAGTAAGAACCACAGCCGCACAAAATGCAGAACTTCATTCGAAAAGGCACATGCTTAATATTGGCACCTACCTTAGTAAGGAATCATGCTGATCAGCAGTGTCAATATTTTCATCAGGTGAAGACTGGGGAAACGAAAAGTTGACACAAGCCAGACCATTTGATGAAGTAACACCTTCAGCATAGAGGATATCTAAATCTGAAGGTTCATAGTCTGTTTTCAATATCTCAAAAACCTGGAGAAAATTTTAAAAAAAAAGTATAAGAGAGAAATTAAGACAAGCACTGGTTGTAGAGGCAATACTGGCACAAAAGTTAAAAACAGAAAATTCAGTGCCATACAAACAACCATTAGTACTAGTTGAGATTGCTCGACAGATCTGTGTCAAGAACGATGACAGGTCACCCAACATTATGGACTGGCCTAAATGTTCTTATTAAAAAAAATGGACTGGTCTAAATAGAAGGCAAGTTTATTGCTAAATGAGCCAAATTAGGGAACTCCTACGTCTGATTATTAAGGGCATAAGAACCTCAAAAGACAAGAATATGTCATTATCCACTAGCCTGGTGAAGCTTGTCTGTGGACCATGCAAGGTTCTTTGTTGAACTCTATGATTTCTTCAGAAGAATTAAGCCTAGTGTTGCACAGACCCTTCACTTACTAGTAGCACACTTATAGCACGACATCCTCACAACACATCGGTGTTACTGCTTTTATCTGTTCATTAGGCAAACAAAACCTTACAGCGTATATGCTTCACGGTGAAACACAAGCATGTCAGCAACTCCTTTAAAGCCAATTAATGTTTTTGTCTGACCACATTCTGAGGGTATGATTCTTCATTAAAGCAAATTCTCAGAGAATCGAGTTTCATCAAGGAAATCAGTTATAGGTGACAAGCGGAAGAAGTATTCGAGTAACCTTCAGAATTCAGATACGTAAATCTAGTGATATATAAATCAATTCTCTCCGAGAAGTTACAACAAATTTAAACAAGAACTTCTGTATCAAGCATAATCTTACCCGCTCCAGGTAATAGCTAGCAACACTGGGCAGCATTACCAATTCACTTCTCCTGTTGTAAGTTTCCTGGATAGCTGTGTGCTTCCACAACTCCTCGACTAATGGAGCATATTCACGAGTAGCAGCTGGAAATATGACTTCCAAATTGCCAGACACCATAGTCTTCAGAAGAAAGTCAGAGAACGATTTGAGCCTCGGACCAATGGAATAGACATTTTTTCTATCAGCATCATCACTACTTCCTGCTAAAAATTATGAAAAGAAAATAATTAGATGATTCAAAAAGAAATACTACCAATCAATTCATTATGCCCATGCCGGATATGAAATGCTAAAATGCCCTTCGAAAAATTACATAAGTGGGGAAATCTTAAGGCTTGAATCCTTAAAGATACCCAATATATAAAGAAACAACTAAAAAGAAATAGTCAATCAACAGCATAAACATTGTCATATTTGAATGAGGGTAAATAGGATGATTTGGAGAATAAATCAACATGCAGCCTCACCTTCAGGTTCAATGTCCTTGGAACTTCTCCCTTTCCTCATTTCAGCCAAACACTCTTCCTCAAAACGTTCACGGCCTTCAAGAAGCATGCCAAGATAACCATAGACATTGGTTTGGATTTTCAACTTAATATTTTCACGCTCATCCTCTGAGAATGGCACATTTTTATAAAGAATCTTTGCCTGAAACAATCCATTCATTTGAAAGATCAATTGACTAATCAATTATTCTTGTTTCTACTGTCCATTCCATCTTTAAGCAGCTATCTTACATTAGCACATAAACATAAGAAAACAATAATTAGTTGAATGCAGGCTAAATGGTAAACAGAAACACTGAAGTCAAGGATTCATGAAAATTCGGGAATAATTCCTATGCTCATAGTTACAAATCTAGATTTTGCTTTCATCGTGAACTTGATAATATTATAACACACTAAACTAAGAGTCTATTCGCACTATTATCTCTGTGAACTATGGTGTACCAACCATTCAAATATTTAAACTTTATAGAATCATTAGAGGATTATAGCAAGTTGAATAAATTTGATTGATGCAATTAAATATCTTTCTTAAACCAACATGTATCTCATTCAGTAAAAGAAACTGTGAGGCTTTTACACAAGCGGTTTTTAGTGAAGAAAAACTATCTGCACATGAGTAGAACCAGAAAGCAAGGGAAGTTAATGTGTGATTCCAAATCATTATTTACCTGCTTAAATATGGTAGTTGACCCAGATCCAGGAGATCCGACCAAAAGAATCTTCTGCAATGTACGCTGCTCAAGATAGTCAGGAACAGATCTGCTATTCATGCTGTTTAGCGACTCTCCACATGAATTTGAAGATTTAGAAGGAACAGGCAGTGATAATACAGCACAGACAAGCTTCGTTCCCGCCTAAGTTAAATTTGAACAATAAATGAATGCTTAATACAAGTATCTCATCCAAAAAAATATGGCAAAGGGCACACAGAAACATGCATATATTACATACCTTTCCCCATATATATCCTTTTGTATTTTTTTGTCCCTCTTCTAGGTATGAACCGTCCTCATTCACCCAAAAGTGTGGGTTGCCCGCAACTTGAACTCCTGCCAACTACAATGTTCACCAAAGCAGTCATCGACAATCTTGCAAAATAATGAACATCTTAACAACAGTACATGTTAAGAAATTTAAACCTGCAACATCCGAAGTTCAACTTTTGTGATTTCTCGACCATTTATGAAAACTTCAGTGTTTCCGTTGCTAGCATCTGGCCTGATAGGACCACCAACATTTAGATGGGGACTAATTATCTTTGAAGGTTTCTGTCCTTCCTGTCAATTGCACAAGAATCATCAGTTTCTCTAACAATAAAATGAATTATAGCAAAGAATAATGACGTCAATCAAAGATTGCATATTCACCTTTCCCCAAAGACCAGATACTTTATCATACCAATAGTTTCCCGGCTTTAGCGTCTTGGGTGGGTTAGGGCAACTCTGCAATATAGCCAGCTCCTCGTAACAAAGGGGTTGCCCATTCACACAAATATACTCAGGAGGCAGCTGATTTGCCTCACACAACTTTTCTGCCTTCAGTATCTGTCTTACCTCCAAATCATTAAGAAAACGTTTAAGCATTCGAGAACACTTTCCCAAACCCCCGCGTTTTGACTCATCAATTGGAAATCCAATACAAGTAACACATTTCCTTCCTTCAGGCATAGACCCCATAGCTCTAAGCACGCAATTATTACAATACTTGGCATCACAAACAATACAAACCTCCTTTTCTGTAAACCTATTCCCCTTAAAACATCGATAACATGACCCTTTCTTCCCTTTTGTCTGTGGCTGTCTTTTAACTCTAACAATCTGAGCTTGCACCTCATCTTGACTAAATTCCTCATCAAGTCCATCATCAGATTCAATATCTCGAAAAGTAACAACCTGAGGTCTCCTAACATCACCATTGGACTCATTATTACAGTCCCCGGTCTTAAGAGAAGAAACTCGTGAAGACGGGTAATCTAAACTCAAAACAGACTCGTTAGAACCCCAATCAGGTTGATTCAAATCATCATCAATTGAAATCCTAGCTAGCGACGAGCTTCCTCTCGGTTTATCAGGGCTATCACAAGAATCAAGCTTACTCCAATGTTCATTACTAACAGAACAAGCTACTAAACGCCTCGAAGAACTATCACTATTGTTACTCAATTCAGCTAACTCCCCAGACTCGTAACTACTCAACTCCCCAGATAACAAACAGTTATTAGTATCCGCAGAAACCCTTTCTTGAAAAGCAATAACCGAAGTTGGTGAAACAGTGGGTTGAAGAAGCAATTCCTTAGAAAACCTGTTACGATCTGGCGCTAAAATAGGGGGTACAACCGGTATGTGGACTTCAGTATTGGAAAGTGGTACCTTTGAAACGACGGCAGCAACTGGGATTTTCTCGACGTTGATTGGAACAGCTCGTGGAAGATCGTAGGTTACCGGAGGGCCGATGTATTCCACCGCGAAAGAGTACTGTTGGCCGTCTTCATCACTCTCTACGCTTGGCAAAACTATAGCTTCTTTGGGTGGCATTTTCTGGGTGTTCGGAGATCAGACAAAAGGGAGAAGAATAATTGTTCAAATTCGTGGAAGGAGAGGGTAAAGGGTAAAGGTAATGTAAGGTAAGAGATTGTGTGGGAAAATGACAGCAAACCAAGAAAAGAAACCGGGGATTTTACTGGGATTGGCTTAGAATTGGAATCTAGATTATTTTTATTTAAATCGTTTCAAGTTTTGTAAAAGGAGAGCATGTGGGGTATGAGCTTGGGAAGAACTTTTGTCTTTTTAGGTGAGAGGGGACCAACTTGCGTTCTGCTGTATTGGAATTGGAGCGAAAGCATCCATGGCGGAATTTGGATTTCACTGTGGATTTTTCCTTTTTCCTTTTCCTTTTCCTTTTCCGATGGATACCCTTTCTTTTTCGATTTATTCATTTGCTTTAAATGATTGAATTCATTTGCACTGTTCATTTAAATTCAAAAATATTATATAAAATCAGATATTCACTCAACCAACTCGAGAAAATGGAAAGAAAAAAAATGAGTTGCTGTAGAATGTTCTTGTGGCTTAGACGAGGGAATTAAAATTTAAGAAAGAAAAAAGAAAACCCAAGTTGCTTTTACCAAGCTTTCATGCTTTGATTCCAAGAGCTGTAGATGGGTTGTGCTAAAGATGCTCTTTTTGAACTGAAGTTTGGGACTTTGGTAGAAGGAAACGATCTTTGAATCCGGCAGGACAATTTAAATACCTAAGTATCCAGTTGAAGTTAACAATACAAATCTAAGTAGATTAGGCCATAATCTGAGATCGAGTAAAGACTCGAGCCCCGAGGACCGCTTACTAAAGGGCGGCTATTCTGATGAATCGGTGTCGATGGGGCTTTGTGCTGGTGGAGTTTGGTCCGTTATCCGCCAAAGCTTGACAGACTTATCTAGGCTACCACTGTAAAGAATCCACTGGTTTTCACTGGAAGTTGATTCATGATCCTTTTCGATTGCCAAGCACTTAACAGGACCGTTATGGCCCGTTAATCTTGTCAACAAGAAATGCTGGTTCCCACATCTTTTCCATACCAAAATCGTCTTATCAGCCGATCCGGTGATGAGAAGATCTCCGGCTGTTACCAAACAAAGAATGGCCAATTTATGGCCTCTGAAAGCACCGCCATGGGAGATATTATTTTCACAGTCCCAAAAGTTAACCACCCCATCCGACGACCCACAGTAAATAAATTTACCATCAGGGCTCAACGCTAATGATGTAATGGCGTATTCTTGTTTGAACAATGACCGGGACAGTAAATGGCTGGTCCCTTTCCCTTCTATCTCTCGTCTCCATACCTTCACCGATCCATCAGCTGAACCTGTAAACACTAAGCCATCACACCCTGCAACAATGGAGTTAACCGCATCGTCGTGAGCTCGAACCGATTCCAAGCATCTCCAATCCGAGATTCTCCAAACTTTGAATGTCTTATCCCAAGAGCCCGAGTAAAGCAACGTCTTGTCTTCGTTGAGACACAAGCAAGATATAGCATCCGAATGTTTCTGCCAAAGACCGCTACGACAGCCCTTCACTTCAGAAAAGCCCGTGGGTACAAAGGAGCTTTTAAAATAATCTTTCAAAGTCGGCAACGTCCCAACTCGTCTATGAATTCTTGTGTTCCTGCTCGAAACCCTCCAAACTCGGATCTTTCCGTCTCGATGGCCCGTAAAGACCTTCTCTCCGGCAATGACGATGGCTTTCACCAACCCACCGTATGATGTAAACCCACCATGCGCCTTTTGTTTCAGCCAGACCCTAATGTTTTTGCTATCGGAGCCGGTATACAACAAGTCCCCGGAGACCGCCAAGGAATATGCATGCCCTTCTTCACGTACCAATGAGCCTATCAACTCTTTAGCGGGAGTTGCATTAGCTTCATCAACAGAAGAACATAGAGTATTATTGGCTGCGAAAGATGTCCATGGTGATTTTCTGAAGGAAGATGGTGATGAACCACTAGAAAAACTTGCCAATGAAGAAAAATCTTGGTTGCTGAAAGAAGAGTTAATCGACGTCGGGAGACCGTCTTTGGAATCTTCTTCACCGGAGATCGAATTCTTTAGCCTGGCAACCTTTTGGCCGGCGGCGGAGCCTGTTTCTTCAAACAAAACGTTGAAACCACCCCGTTTCTTAAACCTAATGGTTTCCATGCTAAATAAGCACGCGAAAATGAAAAGATAAACAACCCAGTGGAAGGGTAAACCATATAACAAAGAAATTTCAAGATGGAGGAGAAAAAGAAACGAGGGAAGGCAAGAAAAATTCAGCATTTGCCTTACCTCCCCTCCAAAAAGAAAGGACGAAAGTGAAACTACGAAGCCTCGCAAGTACGAAGCAATAAAGAATGTCATTTTTCTTCCTTTTTGCATGGAAGATTTGATGAATGTTCCGTTGAGATTGTTTCTATTTTTGGATATTAAATTCAACGGCTTGTCCAAAAGTTAATATGGTTTTTATTTTTCAAACAAAATTATTGGAGAACAGACCATGTAGTTTTTTCTTTGGTAAGGTTTGAGATTGTGGTTACGAAAGTTTGTAGGGAATAAGTTTCAGCATTTGGAGTTGGACATTATCAGTATTTTTCAAGTAAAAAATTCCAAAAAAATGGGGGAATGTTGATTTTACTAAATAAGTCGATATACATTTTGATATCTAAACATTTTTTGAAAACTCAAACTGACTTTGTTACAGTCGTTTACAGCTTTCGCGTAACCCGGAAATTGAAAGGGCACAACTAAGGCGAAGTACTTGGTTGGAGTTCTTTAAAACCAAAGATGACCTTGGAACCTGCATTTTCCTTTTCTTCAAGAACTCCATGGAACTCTGTAAGCATTGAGGAGGTGGTATGTGGTTCAAAATAACAGGTTCTAGCCTGCAGATAATAACGCAGAAGCTTAGTTATTATCTTTCAAAAGCCTTAATGCAACTGCTGCTTCTGTTATATCAAGGAAGGAAAAAATATTGCTTTTTGTTAACGAGGGAAGTAAATCCTCACCCTGAGTTTTTCTTTTTCTTTCCCGGAGTGGGATCTGCCTCAGCCTTCTCATCCTCGGAGTCGGATAAGAAAACTTGTCTGCAAAATGAACATGTTTCCTTAAACTCGAACTACAGATACAGAAGTATAGACGGATGGATGGATGCATAGATATTCATACTTTTCACGAGACGCGAGCATTTCTACAACGTTGGTAGGAAGCATCCCCTTCTACACAGGGATTCCTCATCAGTTTCTACATATTGATCGTTTTCAGTTTTCGCAGATTGACGTTGTGTTTTCCTTTGACCCCAAAGTCTGCGACGTTCTTTTCCCTCACGAATAACTCTGTATAAAGTAGAGCAGATTAAGCTCTATTAAAAGTAAAAGTTTTTGCATTTAAGTAAAACTTGATGTAATCAAAAGATCACATGTTAATTACAAAGCAGGAATGACATAGGCACTCAATTCAATACCAACACTTTTCCGTATGTTATTCATTAGATTCATTTTTTCCCCATAGTCATGGAGTTAATAACTAAAACCTCTTCTCAGCAAATCAATCATTTGTCTTGCTGCTCCTTTCAAAAAACAAAACTTTCGTACCAACTCTACGATAACACCCAAATGAGCTAATACACAACCACAAATCATAGCAAGCATATGACTACTGCACTTTCAAGAAAATTTCACAAACCATGGGGAGCTCGATAAAACCCTAAACCACAGATAACTCAGAGTCATCATATCTAAACTCTGAAGTCCTTTACTTCATAATTAAAGCAATTATTGTCTTCAAAATATAGTTGTTATGAAAAGAACGAACCTTACCATAACCACGATACCGTAAAACTGGCTAATCAATCAACCTTACCAAGCTTTGATGCTAATTAATAAGTTCAATATGTACGCAATCAACAAAACACTTAAATTTAACCAACTATTTACTTGAAAGGGATACCAAGGCATCAATGTCTTAGCCGCCTTAGACACAGTTTAAACATACCCATAGCTACAAATTCTTCATCTCTTTGCTTTTAGTCAGTCAACAAGGGGGGAAACCCCAATTAGCAAACTAATTTTACGCAAATTTAAAAAAAAATCTTAAAAAAAAAGAATACAAATAGTAAAATAATCAATTAACTACCTGGCCTTGTTTGTGCGCGTGCGTGTGTTTGTGTGTTTTCCCCTCTCAACTTCTAGGGTTTAAGGAACTCCAATTTAAAATCATAAAATATTGCGACTCAAAATGGAGAGGCCCAAGCTGTTATAGGCTTGGACCGAAAGTTCATGAGCCTATTTCTAATAAGTTTCTCTTGATATTTTTTCACCTATTTTTCCATTTTCATAAAACGATTGGGGTTGATTGACATTGTTTATTGTTGTGAGCTATATCATATATATTTTATAATAATTGAGTTATACAAAATATTTTTATACTATTATATTTGTAGTATAAATACTAGTATATTCTATAATTTATGTTATTAATTCTCCATCCTCTCCCTTTTTATTTTTTTTTATAGTTTCTGCCATTTTCTATAGATCAAATCAACTTCTTTGATTTTCTTTAGTCAATGACGGTACCGATTTTGATACTAGTTACCGATCGCGGTTTGTCTTTTCTCTTTTTTTTTTTAGTTTTTTAATAAGGATAATTATGTCTTTGTGACACGTTTATATCTGTCTTTGTGGCTTGTTTTTCTCTGTCTTTTGATAGTTTTCGGTCGCTTGATTGTTGTTTTCGCTTATCTTTTTTCATCAGAGTTAGATTTGACATCGCCACAACTGATCAAGATGGCGTTTATTTAACCAACAATCAATTGGTCTAGTGGGATGAATCACTAGGTCATTTAAGCAAGGTCAGAGGTTCGAATCCTGGCATTTGCGAATGGAGCAAACTGGGTTAGGAGGGTCGCCCTTGCATTTGCAGTACACGATCTAGATTAGTCGGTCAATAGATCGGATACTAGTGATTAATTCAAAAAAAAAGATGCCGCTTATTTCTTTCCATGATTATTTTCTCTGCTTTGGATCCTCGGATTGACTTGGATACGCGTTTTGCATTCGTGAATAATTTTTTCACGTCACTCGACTCTGATTTACGATTTTTCGGTGGTCTTTCAGTAGCTTCATCCCCTTTTGTGGTTCGTTTGCCGATATAGTAAGATTTGTTCATAACTTTATTTTGTCCGAGCTTTTTGGTTAGGTTTTTTTAACATTTTCCTTCTTTGGTCATTGTGTGATCTTGGTGGCTAGTTTTTGTGTCAATAGTGATAGGAAAATCTCCTAATTATATATTAGTTTACGGTTATGCTTGTAAATTTTCATTGTAATTTTGGATATTTTCTATTTTTAATAAAACTATCGGCTTTCTATCAAAAAATTAATTATTTTTAGAAATTATTACCAAGGATTATCAAAAGTGTCATGTGATGTGTTTTAATTGATAAAAAATGAAAAGTACTAAAAATGAGATAATAAATTTAATTTTTGATAGAAATTTTTAAAAAAGTAAGAGATAATTCTATAAAAAAAGTATATTTTAAGATAAACTTAGAGCCTAATCATTTTTTTCGCAACCAAGGCTTGGTACGAGCTTATCTATAGTGGTCTCTGCCAAGGGAAAACATCATCTCAGGCATCCCTTTCTTAAGGAAATAGTTTGGGTCCATCAAAACCAATCCTTGCACAAAAGGTTTAGATTTTACAAGTGACCATGTGCAATTCCTTGGCGTTATACAAGACGTTAATCTCCTCAAAATAGACGTTGCTCTGGCTCTGTCAATAAATCATGCCAATGTCATTCTTTTTAGACCATTTCATAGTTCCACCCCACCCCCAAATCCTCTTACTGCTTTGCAAAGAAAATTATAAGAGTCGCCCATGGATGTTGATACAAGTGACTGAGATTCAAGAATTTGAGCTTGTAAATCTTACCATTGTCATTATTGGATTATAAATTCATATATAAATCCCAATTGGATTTTAGATATACACTAACCTTGGACTATGTCAAGAATTAGAGACCGATTGTTTCCTTGTAAGTTTAAAATAATATAATTTAATAATATTCACTTGTCCTTGTGTTAGGTCAATTTGCATACAAATTACAATTTGTCCCAAGCAACATACACAAAGTGTTGAAATATTATTCGCCATGCATGCAACTCCTTAAGATTTCTGGTATGTGGAAATTAATTCTAATACCAGTTGCTGCTTGAAGAGGCTTCTGAAACTGAGACCAGAGATGCATCAATTACTGACTTCAGGAGTTGCTACTGCCAATACCATCTGGGATTCAATCCGTGAAAAGAGACTTACGGTCCCTTGGCAGAAACTGTTATGGTTTCCCCTGCATATCCCAAAACACAGTCTTATTACCTGGATGGCTTTCCTCGATAAACTTCATACCAAGGTTAGATTACAACGTATGGGGCTGATTAATGACTCTTTATGCGTTTTCTGTAAAGTTGATCTGGAATCCAAAGACCATCTTTTCCTTAATTGTCCTACTATTGTTTTCCTCTGGGACTCTATTTTCTCTTTATCTGGTATGAAATTTTCTGTCTTCTCTTGGGATAATTTCTTGACTCGGGCTAGCTCCAACTGGAAAGGCAAATCCTTGCTCTCTTTGGTTATGAAGCTGGCCATGAATGCTCTGGTTTACTTGCTATGGGAGGAAAGGAACAAAAGATTGTTCCAAGGTTGATCTAGGTCTGTTGAAGACTTACTTAAGGCTATCAAAGACATTGTTAGTCTTCATTTAAGGGGCAGAATTTTTAATAGAATTGGTAGTGTGAATATTATTCTCTGTAATCATTGGAATATAATTGATCATTGATTCTTTTTGTATGTATCGAACTATTTCTGACTCTGATTGTATTTTGTAGCAAACTCTTCTATTTAGATAATAAAAACTTATCCGAAACAAAACAAAAAAAAAAAAAGACACTTTCACGAGTTCGGCTAGACCCCTCCCCAGTCAAATTTTGCTGCTCTTTTTAGATTTGATTACTTACTCCTATAGTAATTCACGCTCACATCAAATTCAAAACGTCTGAACTTTCACTTTTATTTCCATATACATACTAAAAGTAGAATTAAGCATTATCATTTTATATTATAAAAAGTTTAACAATAGTGTTTGTTCGAATTTTTTAAAATTATTGATAACATATATATATATCTTATAGATATAATTATTCGAATTTATAATCTTTAAGGTCTCTATTGCATAGATCACTCAGTGGGTTTGATTTGATTTAATTTTAAATATAATTTTTGCATTATTATTTTCTTGTTTAGAGTAAATCATCCTCTTCACCACTAAATATTTTGTTAGGACAAAATCAAAGGGTTTAGGTAAAAAAATATATAATCCATGGATATATTGGTGTGTTAAACAGGTCACACGACACTAAAGTATTTTTGAGATTCTTGAGATTTTAATATTGTTTTGAATAATAAGTTAGTTATATTATATGTAGTCATAAGTCTAGTGTGAATATTTAATAATGTTGAGTCGTTTTAGTTAAAGACTTATGAATATTTGATTATGTTGTCACACCTTGAATTTAGAGTTAGAAGTTTTAGAGACAAATTGCAATTGATTAAGGGAAATTCAAGTTATGGGAGGCTAAATTGGAAGTAAACTAAGATTTAAAGGACTTACTTGAAATAAAATATGAAGTTTGAAGATTCAATTGTACATGAATAATGTTAATGGAGGATGAAATTGAATAATTTGAAATCTAAAAAACCAAATTTGGAAGAATAGGGACTAAAGTGAACACGAAATATAACTATGGGCTATATTTGTGAACCCTAGAAAGTCCATGATCATGCCATAAAATCATACCATAAAGCCAAGGCAAACATGAGCCTGCTAGAGCTTTGACATGTACCCCAGGCCTGCATCGTTTTCCCTCAACCCAATTGAAGCTGTTATGTGATGAGAGGCATGAAACCGATAGCCAATAAACTTAGGCTTGACCTAGTTGAACCAGAGCTAGATGGATCGTTGACCAAACGTAAGATTTAACATGTGATTTACTTTTTTTCGGTTGCCCTTCGGTAAGGCTTCGCTCTTATTAATATGGACTAACCCGGGTTGCACACCTGAATTTAGTGTGTGAGTCTTCCAGCGAGGATTTTCTGCATACACAATGACTTGAACCTGAAACCTAACTTAAGTAATATCAAATTGCTTAAGCGATATCAAGTTGTTTACCATTCAAACATGAGATCTTGCTTAAACGAAATCAAATTACTTTGGTGGGTGAGTCTCTCCGTTGGTTTTTTTTCTCATTAAAATTAGTCTATCAAAATTTTCACAGGACCTACTTTGATTAATCGATTTTTTTTCTTTTAACACAGTTAAAAAAATAATACAACTAAGATAACTTTTAAAATTTAAGACATTAGAATATTTCAAAAATAACTTTAAGGGATAATTTGATAAAAAAAATAATATAGTTTAAAGAGAAAGGAGCCTTTGAGACTAAACAAAACGCAAGTTTAAGAGAAAAGAAAAGTTTTTGTCGACCCTTCATAACTTTAAATTGTAACCCAATATTTTTAATTTGAAAAAAAAAAGTCATTAAAAATCCATTTTAGGATCTAAAGGGGAAAAGAGTGCCCACATAATATATTAACCAGGATCAATATCATAAGTTACAGTAGAGACAATAATCTCGAGATAAATCGAGTCAAAAAAACAACACACTTCCTCATCTAAATGCCCAAGAGACTAACTCATGGGCCACCTTATTACAAATATGCAGGGCAAAATTAACTTTGAAAGATATATGGGTCTGCAAAATGGATTGAGTTTCAGCCAGATGAAATCCTAAAGTGGACAAATCTACCACATGATCACGAGATAGTTTATTAGTCACCATTATTGAATCAGTCTCAAATACAACTTAGTGCCAATGGTTCTCTTGAGCAAACTTTAAACTGGAAATCATAGCATGGATCTCTTCGATGCAAATGGATGGCGATAAAACCAAACAGCCTAACAGTAAACCTGCGGAGTCTCAAGCTATAACACCAATGGCAGCCAACTTTCGCTGAGGGTCGAAGGCCCTATCTACTTTAATTTTGACATAACCTGGATCGTGGGGAAGCCAATGAGTAGCCGATCCTTGCAACGAGCGCACCTGGAGGGAGCACACAAGACATTCACCCTAGAGCTTGCTTCCTGGCCACTAAGAACTCTTAGTGCAACATCTGGGCATTAAGAACTAGGATCTAAGGTGGTTGGACTTTGTTGTCATGGATCTTCGTATTACGACCATTCCAAATATTCCAAAGCAAAATCATGAATCCTGAAAAACCTTCCATATCAAGTGCGGATATCACAGGTTCCAACCATTGTAAAGGAGCAGTGGTTTAACTAGATAGGAACGTACCTTGTAGACCAGCCAATGCAAACGATTCCTGTGCAGATGGACAGTCTCGCAAGACGTGCAACACTGTCTCCTCGTGCAAGCTACACATTGGACAGAGACTATGACCTAAACTAGCTACTCAAAGTCGACTCCCTATAAGGAGGCCTTCATGGACTAATCTCTAGGCAAAACCCGGATTTTGAGGAGTACCTGCAATTTTGTTATAAACCCAATATTTTGATTTGCTAAGAAGGCGAACCAAATGTGCATGACAACCTTACTTCATTATTATTATTATTATTTTGACAAAATAGCTTTATTTTCATTTGCTAATAAGGGCCTACCAAATGTGCACGACAACCCTACTTCATTATTATTATTACTGACAAAAAGAAGAGAGCTTCATGTTGCGGACAATGGAGGAAGCTTCACGGGAATGCTCAAAAGGTAACATTTTTTCCATGAATCCCATATGAAATCAAAGATACTATGGAGAAAAGTTGTCTGGAGCCACTCAAATCTTATTAACAAATCCACACGATCTATTATGTTAAATTAAATTCAGATTTAGATTTATTCTAAAGGCTGTTTTAAAACCACATAACTATCACCATAATGTGTTGGCGGGTAGTTCTGCGGTGCGGCGCCTAAAAAACGGCTAATATACGGCGTGACCGGTTAAACAATTGACCGGTTAAAATTTATACCGGTTATATTATATTATTTAACCGGAAATATTATAAAGTACAATAACATACTAGGTAGCGCTTATATAATGTAATAGGTAGCGCTTATATTTACCTATTTTATAAGTAATCCGGTATATTTATACCAATAGTATTGAAAATTTACCTATTACATTATATTATATTGAAAGTGTCCATACTTTTTATAAAAAGGATCGATACTTCTTTTAAAGTTATGTAATTTATGTTTCAATTTTTTTTAATAGTGTTTCATGTTTTCCACCTACAATATTAATTTAATAATTTCATTTGCACAAAAAATTATTTGATTATTTGATATTTTATAAAATATTATTTAGAATTTTTAATTTAATAATAATATATATCGTAACGTAAAAAATAAATCATTAGACGCCTATAATTACTAAATTAATATCTTAAAACTCACTCAAAAGATAACCTTAAATTAATGTTTTCCACAGTGAAAAAAGTATGGACACTTTTATAAAAAGGATAGACACTTTACAATATAACCACTACCTATTACATTATATAAATGATACCTATTACATTATATAAGCGCTACCTATTACATCATATGTTTACCTATTATATTGAAAGTGTCCATACTTTTTATAAAAAGGATCGATACTTTTTTTAAAAGTTATGTAATTTATGTTTCAATTTTTTTAACAGTGTTTCACATTTTCCACCTACAATATTAATTTAATAATTTCATTTACACAAAAAATTATTTGATTGTTTTGATATTTTATAAAATAATATTTATAATTTAAATTTAACAACATTAACCAAAGATAATAATAAATATGTAATATATATGTTTATTGTTTTTAATTTAATAATAATATATACAACATCAAACACATTCCAAGCTATAAATTACAAGCTAAGGACACTTGAAGAAGCAAGAGAACAACTATCCAAGCAATCAAAAACGAGAAAATCCCAACATGATAACAACTGAACATATCATATCAATGTTCAAACTCAAGTTGTAGATTTTGATTTCCTTTTGCTTGGCATCATATGAGATTTTTTATTTCCTTTTGCTTGGCACCATATGAGCTTTGGATTTTGATGAGCATCGGAAGTATTTCAGACTTATGATTTGGGTGGTACTCAGAAGCATTTCGGACTTATGATTTTAGTTGCTATTTGTTTACCACCCAGATCATACGCCCGAAACGTTTCTGACGCTTTAAAGTTGACCAAAAAATACAATGGTCGGGATTTCCCTTGCGTTTAAACGTTGGAAAAAAAACAATGGAAATTAGGAATAATCAATGATAACATGCATATTGGCTTGGGCTAATATTTATAGTGGAGCCGAAATATATATTGAAATTCAAACTCAAATTGAAATTTAAATTCAAACTCCAATTACATATGAAATGAATTTGAAATGCAGTGTTAAATTGAACATGAAAATTGCATAATTGATTCATACTGTTCAAGTAACATGCTTTATGAACCATCAAGCTAAAAGACAATATTGATTGAGTTCAAAGCTGAGTTGTGAGTTGATGGAGTTGTCACACTTGTCACATGGTTGGAATAAAGTAATTTGATTTAATAATTTTATTTGCACAAAAAATTATTTGATTGTT